AGCAACAGAACACTAATGAAAAATTGATCAGTAAAACCAGTCAACAATTAATGCATCAAAAAGTATTACAATTTTAAAAACAGATGAAAATACTGCTACAAGACACGAAATGATGAAGGCCAAATAATGTTGTGGAAAAGGGACAGTGAAAAAGGGCAGGAGCACTTCTGATGATCCTGCAAAAATGACAAGCAAATCAATCACTGGAGTAAAAACTAATCATGCCTCAAATTATTTCATTCATTCAGAAACCAAACACCGCACTGCTGTTTTATATATATAAAACACTGTTTTTTATCGTTTTTGTTGGCAAAATACAGATTGTTGTCTATTTACAATTACACTAACGTTAATGGGGAAAAGATCAGTCAAGTCAACACTAGTCAAGTGTCCACACAGGTATGTAAAAAATAAAGTCTCATCTTAACTTAATGTCTGACTCTGTATAGCATGAATATATGATTCCATGACCACACTAGCGCTTTCACGAATTTAAGAGGGGTGAACACAGTTCATTCTGACCTTAAGAGGCTACATATTAAAAATAAATAAATAAATAAATAAATAAATAAAATAATTAATTTAACGTGACTAATGTTAATCAAGTACTTTTAAGCTTTTAACATGTGAAAATCTACTTCTAACTTACAGACAAGATTACGTTAGAGAACATGAAAGCCATGGGTGATTTAAAAAAAAATAATGCTAATGATAAGTTTCTGACATTTGGTTCGCATAAAACAAAGTAATCACTAAGCATTCATTTTTGGCAAAATCTGCCGAAAGGCACAGCAACACGATCAAATGTGTTAAAGTTGAGCAGAGAACTGAAGAGTAGTCAAGCAGTCTCCTTCATGAAATGTTTGTGATAATATTTTGCGGTCAATTCGTATTACTGTATTTCAATATGTCAGTGAGACAAATAAATATTATTACACCTCTCCAGTGACATTTCCTCAAATTAAATCATCAAGACGTTACTGTGCACAGCATCAGTAAAACGTTAAGAATAATTTAAATACCAAATTTTAAAAGTCACTGCTGATTACAAACTAACATTAAAGATAGGCTTACAGAAATCCTGAATGCATGATAATATGAAGATTTATTACTCACTGATGTCGAAGCACTTCGTCAGAGATGTAGACAGGACAGAATATGTGCCATCAAATGAGCTCTTGTGCAGTCTTTGTTGGACATCAAGGTAGTATGTTCACCCACACTGTAAAAAAAAAAAATCTGTTATTTTACATGTTTTTTTCCCAGAAGCTAGGGTAATAGAGTCATTTGGTTAAGTGGTTTAAAATAATTTTATTTATTAAATACTTGCTTACCCATATATAGATGTAAAAGTAACCAAAATAAATAATTTATTAAAATGTGAGGGATACTAAGCATGTTTGGTCTACAGAGAGAAGTAAACATTTACTTTAAGCATTGATCCTAATGAATCTATTTCTGAACTACATCCAACCTCACCTCTGAAACAGCATTTTTGAGCTTTTAGATCAGGGGTGCTCAACCCTGTTCCTGGAGATCTACCTTTCCGCAGAGCTTACCTGCAACCTTGATCAAGAACACCTGTCTTTATTTACCAAGTGCTCCTTCAGATACTATTTAGTTTGTTTAGTTGCGTTTGATCAGGGTTGGAGCTAAACTCTGCAGAAAGGTCGATCTCCAGGAACAGGGTTGAGCACCAATGTTTAAGACAATAAAAAATAAGACATCTAGATGATATTTTTTATTCAATCATTTGTGAAATTTAAATGACTTATATTCAGTATATACATAACATAAAATTAGAATAAGAATAAAAAAAATAATACTCTATGCCAAATAAAATACTTCAGATCTAAATAAAGCAGGTGTTTTTACCTAAAGGTTCCTTTCCTCCAGTTAGTTTAGTTGCAGATCCCTCCACATCTGTGCTTTATTTGGTTCTTGACTTAAGAGTAACTGGTGTCACATTCCAGGTCCATCACAATCTGAGCTAGAAAGACAATATGGCAAAAGACAAGACACATATAAATAAGTCTCAGAATAAAATATTTAAAAGGATAGTTTACTTTTCTGCCACCATTACTACATGTGTTTTAAATCCATTTAAATTTCTGTTGAACACTAAAGCAGATATTTTGAAGAATGTTAGAAACCAGAAACTATTGACATCCATATTTGAACAAAATTTCTTTAAAAAAATATATGAGTTTGTGTTCAATGGAACAAAAAAAAATCTAACTATTTTGAAACAAGTGGAGGATGCCAAAGATGCTATTATTTTCATTTTTGGGTGAACTGTCCCTTCAATTCAAGTGTCACGCATTACTCATAAAAACTGATGTATCGCTTGAGGAAAACTAAATCAAGTACCTCCTGTGAGCAAGCAGAATCATTATGCCATTGTATTCAGCCAACTGACCCAGCCGAGGCTCGAACCAGCAACCTTCTTGCTGTGAGGCGACAGCACTAGCTACTGTGCCACTGCGTCGCTACTGGAAGAAGAAGAAAAAGAGGTTGTACATGAAACTCCTCACAACAAATCTGTGAACAACTTGACATTTCAAAATCTAATCAAAATGAGGAAGACATCAACATTACCTTGAATAATCAAGTGAGGAGAGATTGGTAGCATCAGTTTTTCAGCATCAATTTCTGTAGTTGCAAAAAAGATAAATATAATAAGAGTAAAATAAGACTTAACATTTAATAATCTAAATCTATGGTACAACCATACAAATCTGTATGGGGTTCAAATAAATTTGTATACAAATCATTCCCTACACCTGAACACCAAAAATAAAATGTACAATTAATGACACAATAACGTTATACAATAAGCTCATTAACCAGTGAGAAATAGACAATTAATATGTATTATGTTAATATTAACGTTAGCTTAAAAGACATAAACTGAATTTTATTATCAGCTCAATTTAATAAAACAGACTTGTTTCATTGTGAGTTTAGTTTGAATAACTAACTTACAGTTTACAAATTTAACCATAATGATAACTTGGTCATAATGACCACATGAAGACCAGAGCTTACCTTAATGTTAAACGTTTAACTTTTCATGGTGACTTTGCCTTCATCTCAGTGTTGTGCTGAAATAGAGAATTCATTAATGCAGATAACCCAAAGTAAAAGTTACGTTTTTTTCAGGAAACTTAACGTTACTATGGTCAAAAACTCACTCAAGATAAACTCACTGTAATTACCTTATCTAATACCTCGCAAACACTACAAACACGGTCTGGCGTCGAATAACGTGACATAAGTACCTAACGTTAACTTACAGTACAACTAAAGTAACTTGGTTAATTATTTTAAATTACACACACACACTACACGGAAATAAACACAAAACAATCCTTTAACGAACAGAATTTGACTTTTAAACACTTACCGAGGATGAATTCACTGGAAGAAAAGGCGACAGGTGGATTTCAAATTAGAAGAGCCGTTGCTTGCCTGGTCAAATCGAGTCGGCTCGGCTTTATGAATCGGCTCCTTAGAACAGTAAAGAGTCGAATCCGCCTAAAACCGATTCCTTTTTGTATATTATTGTAAGACACAACAATGAATCATTACTATTTCGTTATACTGCTCGGCCACACACATTTATACACATATTGCTGAATGTGCTTGTGAACACGTGTGATAAAATAATTCCCGAGCAAACGGTTCAATCCGATTCGGTGTCGTTTGTGTGCTGAACCGAACCAACAAGCAAATATAATGGCGGATGAGAAAAGCCAGATCATATCATAAATATTGCGTTTAATATGTCACGAAATGAAGTTTTAACAGTTTTTCATGCGAGAATGTAGTTCTTCCAAACTCAAATCTGTGGTTTGTTTTTAGATATCATGTCTAATTTTAAGTGTGCTTTGCCGATAGGGGAGATTCTGACCTCCAGGGGTTGACGGCGCTCCATCACTCATGTATCCGGCAAACCTCATGCTTTAATCGGCCTAGACATTATTGAGACATGCCCTGTCTTCGATGACTAGATAATAAATGTGTTATGAAATAAAGTTTTAACCGTTTTTCATGCGAGAATGTAGTTGTTTTAAACTCAATTCTGTGGTTTATTTATTAAGATAGTGTGTATTTTAAAATGTTGTTTTGAAAATGCGGAGATATGTGACCTCTACGGTGGCCAATATGGGCGCCCAATATTCTTGAATCCGTCTAAAGCAGGTTGGTCACGCTGACATTTAAGCTGACTTTGAAATCATTTTGTTTGTTTAACAGTCTTTGGTTACGTGAATCAATTTATTTTTGTTCCAATTTACGTTTTGGTTTAGCGCAAAGTTATGTTTATTAAATATTATTTAATATTTCCATGTTGCCTTATAAAGTGCACCCAAAAATGGAAAACCAGGGGACAGTTTAATGCACTGAACAGTCTGAAGAAACTGGTTAGGTTATTTACTTCACAAAATAATTTGTCTAAAAATAAATAAACATAAATAAACATAATAATCATAATATATAGTGTGTGTGGAGTTGTTCTTGGTCCTTTGCAGTACTGTATTTAGATGTACAGTAACGGATTTTTCCCCAAAATTCATTATAAAATCTACAGTAACATACTGTTAACCATGTTCACAGTATAGAAAAGTTGAAAATACATTATTTTACTGTGAAAACAACAATATATACAGTAACACACTGTGCACAGCTTATACAGTAAAAAACTGTTGAGAAATGCAGTATAATACTGTGAAAACAACAGAAATCGTTTACAGTGTATCTATCTATCTATCTATCTATCTATCTATCTATCTATCTATCTATCTATCTATCTATCTATCTATCTATCTATCTATCTATCTATCTATCTACCACCCACCCACCAGGTTACCCATAAAACAAATGTGTAGCAGATGGCCGCAGAATATCAATCATCTTTTTACAGCATAACCATTCTTCATTTTACAATCATAAAAATGTGGTAAAAATGATGACACTGTAAATCTCCCTCTCACCTCCAGCCTTTGTGACCATGATAACAGCGCAGTGAACTTTCGCTCGTGCGTGATGCCCAGAGACTGTAAAGTGTCTGATTGGTCTCAGTGGAGTCTGTGTTCAAAGACCTGCCGCACATCTGACCCTTCGCCGGGCTTCAGGCACAGGAGCCGCAGCCTCATACAAGCAGCCATTGGTGGAGCAGAGCCGTGCCCCGTCCTGGAGGAAAAAGCAAACTGTAATATTTTGGAAGACGCACTACCGCTGTGCCCAAGGTGAAGAGACTGCGCTGCCAGAACTGTGCAGGCAAATCTTTTCAAATGTTGGCAAGATGTTAGAATTTACCCCATGAGTTTTCTAAATGCATGTTGTTATGAATAATTATGAAAAATGTTGACCTCATATTCATTTATCAGATGCTTCAAGCTTCAAGTCAAATGGTGGACTTCTGTTTTTGACATTTAATGATCAGTTCACTGAAAGTCAGCATGAATGACTTTATCTTCAGTAAAGTCTAGATCAGATATGCAGCCGGTCGGAAGTGCGATATGCACATTAATAGAGCAGCATTTTTTATGACACTGTATAACAATCATTTATATTTTTACATTACTCTGACGATTGGGTTTAGGGTTGGTGTGGGGGTATAAAATACAATAAATGGGAAATGTAATAAATAATTGAAATAATTCTCGCTAACCAACATTTTCCTGAACTGAAGTAATGTGGGGCGGGACTTATTTTTGTCTGTTGGGAATTGATTGGATTATTATATTATTGTGGTTTGCTAGTGGCTGATCTCACGCCATTAAATGCTTCATCAGAGGGGGGCAGTTGTACAGCTTTAGACAAAAATGAAGACACCACTTGACAGTTTTGTGGATTTTGTGGGGTTCATTTGTGTAAATGTTTATTAGGTTATTATTATTATAATATAATATTATATTTTAATATGTTTTAGCTCTTCTATAATTTTGTTCTAATAAAATAAAATCTGACAGAAAATAGATATTTGGTCAGAATAAAAATCAGTAGTTGACAGAATAAAACACTATACAATAAATACTAATTACTATAAATCGTGATTTTTTTGTTGCTAATTTATAATTAAAGCAATACTCTTTTTTGATATCAAATTCAATTTCAGTTTTTTTATATTTATTTTACAATTACAGTTTTTTCTCAGTCACTCATGGTGCATTTCTCACAGCACTATTTACATTTGCACAACAATTATTGCATTTCTCAGAACAATTAGTGATTTGTGCACCTCATAGTAGCAGTTTCTCATTTCTTCTCACAAATTGCTAATGCTTTGGACATGCATCAATTGCTTTCATACAACTCTGCTGTTTTATAACATTTATTATTTGCTCATGTCATATCAGTCAAATTTAACTGAACTTGTGATTGCTGAATAGTCATTCCATATAAAACGAATAGTCCTCATTTCAATACTTGAGTCATCACATGCAAAAATGTTGAACTAGTTGTCAAAATCTGTCAAGCAAATTTTGTAAAAAAAAAAAAATTAAATATTTTTTTCCCCCTGAAAATGTCTTTTAAATTGAACAATTTTATGAATGATTTACAGACCTGTGTATGTTGTAGGATCAGTTCCAGTATGTACTGCAGTATTGTTTACAGTTGTGCACAGCTCTACCCAAAGGGAGTTTATGTTTGTTGTAAATAAGGGTGTATTTATTATTTTCCACAATACTGTGAATAAATTAGAATTGTAAAGAGCAAATGCAGTAAAAAAAGTGAAACATACATTTTCAGTGTCTTGTACTCAGATACCTCACTAAATGCAGTGATGTCTAACTTTACTGTAGTTTTCAAATGGCTGTGCAAATAGAGTGAACTGTCATAATAAAAACATGATAAAGCCATTTGACTATCTTGTGCATAAACAACGGTGTCAGGACTTTTCATCTTGATGACACTGACACTTCCTCAGTGATACTTGCTTTTGAGGAATGAGCTATCCATCTTGAGCAAGTCACACACTTTTGCAGGTTATCAACTAGGTTTTGCAGTTTGTGCTAATTGTTTTGAGAAATGCATTAACTGTTGTGCAAAAGTAAATAGTGATGTGAGAAATGCACCAACACGAATGAGAAAAACTGTAACATTCCGCGTTCATCCAATCAAGATGTAATGAATAAAACCAAGAGCCTAGAAATTTCCTTCCTTACAATATTAGTTTCCTTAAGACTGAATTAAAAGTATAGTTGACCCAAAAATGAAAATGTACTCACTATTTACTCACCCTCAAGTGGTTTCAGACCTTTGTACATTTCATTATTCTGGTAAACACAATAGAAGATGTTTTGAAGAAAGCAGCAACTGTTGACTTTCATAATAGGAAAAACAAATAGTATGGAAGCCAATGGTCACAGTATTCCTGCTTTCTTTAAACGATTTTATTTTGTGTTCAGCAGAAGAAACTCAAACAGCACTTAGAAAATGACTTTTGCTGCTTGTTCAAACTACTTATTTAAAATGAGTTGAAACAAGTCAATTCCTATGTTTTTTTTAAGGGACTACTTAATTGTTTTATGTTGCAAAAACTATTACATTAACCTTGTTGTGTTGGGGTAACATGAAGGAATAGTGTGGAACATATTTAAGGGAGAGTAAATGATGAAAATATTTTCATTTTTAGTCGAGCTATTCCTTTAACTTGTCTCCTTAAATCTTAAGTCTGCTTTTGTATTTGTATTGGCTGTTAACAGGTATGAGTGGAGAGTCACCAGCTGGAACCCGTGCCAGGTGACTCCGCTTTTGAGTCAGCAGGACCATCGCCGTACCAATACCAGTGTCCTGTGTGGAGGTGGCATGAGGACCCGAGAGGCGTATTGTGTCCAGATTCAGGACAACACAGTGCCTTCTCATAGTAAGAACACTGGTTTCGATAAACGTGGGTTATTAGCAAGTGACTGACTTTTTTTTAAAAAGTCAAAATAAAAGTACAGAAGTTCACTTTAAATAAAATTTATTTACCCTAAAAATATCAAATCTTCTCAAATAATAATAATAACAATAATAATTGCAAATCAGTGGCGTCATGGTGGCGCACTGGTTAGCGCTCTCGCCTCACAGCAAGAAGGTTGCTGGTTTGAGCCTCGGCTGGGTCAGTTGGCATTTCTGTGTGGAGTTTGCATGTTCTTCCCGTGTTGGCGTGGGTTTCCTCTGGGGGCTCCAGTTTCCAAGTCCAAAGACATGTGGTACAGGTGAATTGGGTAGGCTAAATTGTCTGTAGTGTATGTGTGTGAATGGCAGTGTGTAGGTGTTTCCCAGTGATGGGCTGCAGCTTGAAGGGCATCCTGATTAATAAAGGGGCTAAGCCGAAAAGAAAATGAATGAATGAATGAATGAATGAATGAATGAATGAATGAATGAATGAATGAATGGAGTTTATTAAAGGGAGAAAACTGGAAATTTACAAAACAAAATAAATAAATAAATGGACATTATCCTATAACAGAGACTGTAATTGTATATAGTTGAAGTAAATCTTACAGGATAATGTTGGTTAATACAACCACATTTCATTTCGTTTCATTCAATAATTTTGATATTTATACATAAACAGTATGTTTGTTATTATAAACATTATGTTGCATGTTGGGTGTCCAGAAAGACGCCATTTGTAATTAAAATGACTTACTATACATTCATTCATTCATTCATTCATTCAATTTCTTTCAACTCAGTGGAATGAACCGCCAACTTATCCAGCATTTGTTTTACAAAGCAGATGCCCTCCCAGCTGCAACCCATCACTGGGAAACACCCATACTCTCTTGCATTCACACACATACACTACAGCCAATTTAGTTTATTCATTTCACCTTTTCGGCATGTCTTTTGGACTGTGGGGAAACCGTCCAAAAGACATCCTTTTCCCGAAGGAATCCCACGTGGACACAGGGAGAACATGCAAACTCCACACAGAAATGCCAACTGACCCAGCTGAGGCTCGAACCAGCGACCTTTTTGCTGTGAGGCAACTATGACGCCCCCGACTTGCTAATTTTATTGTTATTATTATTATTAATATTTGATGTATCTTGGGAAAATAAATTTTATTTCAAGTGAGATTCTGTAGTTTGCATTCATATTAGCTTACAACTGTGGATTTTTTAAAATCTGTATACAGATTTTCAGCTTATCAATAGCTTATGACCAAACAGAATGTTTATATTTTTGTTTGAATATGATATTTAAAGGTCCAGTTAAAATTAAAATATTTTTTTAAATGATAGTTTTAGTCTGTTAGTTTTAAAGATATCCATTAGCTGGTGAGCTCCAGAACAGTGACACAGTTCACGTTTAGAAGATATAAAACAAATGTAAACATGTAAAGCTTGCAGTTTGTCACTTCCACCTAAATGATCAATGCTTTTTTCCACAACAGCTTATACTACATTTTCTCATCAAAACTTGACCAATCAAATACTTTCTAGCATCTGATATATCCCGCCCCCGTTAAGACACTTTTCATTTGATGGGCTTGAGCTCAACTGCTCTCACTGGCAGAGGTGTGATAAAATGAAATGCTATTGGCTGTTTTTTTTTTTTTTTTTTTTTTAAATGGGGAGGAGTTACTCTGTTCCACCCTCTCTATATTTTTCATTTGAGATTATATCAAACTTGGAATAAAAAGGCATGTTTCAAAGCACTTCACGTTAGCTTTAACCAAATATCGCATGCATTATGATAAATCTATTAAAAATATATATTTGACTGTTTTTCATTTCTTAAATTGAAGAGGTGTAAAAGAAAAAAATTGAATTCTTTTTTTAGGTACTTTATGAAATGTCGCCATATGGCAACGTCTAACAATGGATCTAACTTAGACATTTCAAATTTAAAACTTTCCTTAATTAAATATTTTGTTGTTTGAAATGATTTAATTGGTGTTGCAGCATTATAAGCTTTAACACAGAACTTATAAATGACACCTTATACATGCTTTCTAACAACTCATCTTCATGCTTTCATTTATTATTTTCTTATCTGCCTCTGAGCTAACTTACCTGAACTGTCTCTATCAAATGTCCAGTCTGCATCCTTCTCATGGTCGCTGAAACCCATCTCATCCTCACTTTCATCTGTAGGAAGAGCCAGTTCTGTCCTTTTCTTCTTTCACGTACCATAGAACATGGTGAAAACACTGCATGTCATGTGACTTAATCAAAGCACATCATTGGCTACACTAAGGTCTTCTCTTTCCAACAACAACAAAAAATAATAATAATAATAATGTTGGTCTTTAAGAAAGTGTCAGGGAAATTAATATGAGTATTCTGTTGCCATATGGTGACACAGAGCAGTAGAGGGTTAAATAAATTTGCCCAAATTTCTAACTAATTCCCGTAAATTCCCGTAAATTTCCTACATGAGGTTTGTGTGGAAAGCTTCCAGTAGTTTACTGGAAATGTTCTGCCCTTTTACTACCCCATTTACAGCATTATTACCATCAACGCACATCCATTAACTGATAAATCGGTTGATCCTGGAAAGAGTCAAATATTGTCGTTTATCAAAGTCAGTTATGAGATTCAATTTCATCAAAAGCGATACTTAAGAAGACCTTCTGATTTTGGATCTCCCAGTACAACAAGCAAATGTGATTAACTCAAACAAGAGCATTAACAGCATAAACACTGGAGAGAAAAATATATATATTTTGTAGATTGCTGTCATTTTTTAAAATCCTTCATAAAGGTTGAGACTCAGGGCAGAACACTAAGGGGAAGATTTACTTTCTTTTGCATTTCTGTTTTTTGATTTAAATGGTAATCTCTGGCCACACAGCGAGAAAGGCGGATTTGAATTACATTTATTTTTTGGTTGGTCTCCAAATAAATGCCTTTCATACAGTTTTGAAACTAAACTGACTTTTTATGGAAGTGTCTCTCTCTGTGTTTTACATTATTAGCCAGTCGGCCTGTTGGGAAGAACTTGTGCACAGGGCCTTTGCCGCCATTGGCTGAGTTTTGCTTCATTCCCTGTCAGAAACATTGTCCCCTCACGCCTTGGTCGCCCTGGGGGCCCTGTCTCCATGACAACTGTTTGGAGCCTCAGGGGAGAAGAGGTGAGAGACGAAAACACCCCATAAAACTAGATTGCACACATCCAAATCTGAATCACACACACTCAGATTCACACCCTGCGTCCTTGGTTTCTCCTCTCTGTACTGTAAAAAGTGTGCAAATCTCAGAGGTGCACATTTTTTTTTTGACTATAACTCACTATAGCAAGTTTTATTGATGTTTTTTTTTCTGTTAATTCTCTCTGCTTCTATAATGAACATTCGTACATTGGAGATGAAGCTTGGAGCACAATTTATGAACACTTGATTTGTGATGAATAATAGGGAATATTAGTTGTGGATCTGTCATGCCAGCAGAACAGTGTTTTACAAAATAGGCACTTGAACATAAACTACTTTATTTTGTTGAAATTGCAATTGGACACAATGAAAAAAACAGCAACGATTTAACACAAAGAAAGATTACAACTCTTTTCTTTGAAGGTTACAGCTAATCAAAAATGAATTGGAAGTGTGGGAGCCCTTGCTTTGAATGACTTCAGCACATCACAGGTTTCAGACGGTGAACACAATGGACAATTAAGTGTTCATTTTTGTACTTTTAGTACAGACTTGTTGAAGTTCATACTTGTGACAACACTACTTGTGAACAATCCATTATAAACCAGTGTTAATATCATTGATGAATATTGTTCACCGAAAGTAGATTAAAAAGAAAAACGAGTTTTAAATGACAAAAAATATGCTGACATTATAATTAACGAATGAATAGAAATGTTAATAGTGGAAAATTTGTTAAAAGATCCAGCCATTTGAATTTTTAACATTTGAACTGTAGCCTATACTGATCTACCTGGCAAGACATTTGCTGCAATCCTGATTGAATATCCAAAGCTGTCAATATTTGAAAGAAGAAAAGCCATATGAATATGCACTCACCGGCCACTTTATTAGGTACACCTGTCAAACTGCTCGTTAATGCAAATTTTTAATCAGCCAATCACATGGCAGCAACTCTATGCATTTAGGCATGTAGACATGATCAAGACGATCTGCTGCAGTTCAAACCGAGCATCAGAGTGAGTAAGAAAGGATTGCTAATGCCAGAGGTCAGAAGAGAATGGCCAGACTGGTTCGAGCTGATAGAAAGGCAACAGTAACTCAAAAAAACACTTGTTACAACCGAGGTATGCCGAAGAGCATCTCTAAATGCACAACAAGTCCAACCTTGAGGCAGAGGGGCTACAGCAGCAGAAGACCACACTAGGTGCCACTCTTGTCAGCTCAGGCTCAACAAAATTGGACAATTTGATTGGAGAAACGTTGCCTGGTCTGATGAGTCTTGATTTCTGCTGCAACATTCGGATGGTAGGGTCAGAATTTGGTGTCCATAACATGAAAGGATGGATTCATCCTGTCTTATATCAACGGTTCAGGCTGGTGGTGGTGGTGTTATGGTGTGGGGGATATTTTCTTGGCACACTTTTGGCTTATTAGTACCAACTGAGCATTGTGTCAGTACTGCAGCCTACCTGAGTATTGTTGCTGACCATGTCCATTCCTTTATGACCACAGTGTACCCATCTTCTGATGGCTACTTCCAGCAGGATAATGCACCATGTCATAAAGCACGAATCACCTCAGACTGGTTTCTTCAACATGACAATGAGTTCACTGAGATCTGGTGACTGTGGAGGCCTTTTGAGTACAATCCAATAGAGCACCTTTGGGATGTGGGGAATGGTAGATTCGCATCATGGATGTGCATGAAGCTATCATGTCAATATGGACTAAAATCTCTGAGGAATATTTCCAGTACCATGTTGAATCTATGCCACGAAGGATTAAAAAAAGTTCTGAGGGCAAAAAGGGGTCCAACCTGGTACCATTAAGGTGTACCTAATGAAGCGGCCGATGAGTGTAAATCTTAAAGCTTAGTTGAAATGCACTTCTGAGATGATGCAAAAGAAACGTTGTTCATCTGAATGCCGTCAGTTATGTTTACTGATTTGATTTTAGCAATATGGCCATGACCCATGGTATCAATCAACTAATTTAATTATCTTTTCTAAATTAAAGCTTACTTCAAATAAGTATTAGGACACAGGATAAGAAAGCTTAGTATCTAATTTTTATTATTATTTTTTTAAATGTCATGTTTATTTCTATAGCACTTTTACTATGTAGATTGTCAAAGCAGCTTAACACGGAAGTTCAGTTTAGTTCAGTTCAATGTGGTTCAATTTTCACTGCTGAAAGTCCAAATGGCTGCAAATCCATTGATGCGCAGCTCCAAAAGTCCCAAACCAAGCAAGCCAGTGGCGAGGAACAAACTTCACCAATTGACGAAAGTGAAAGAAAAGAAAATAAGCTGAGTTTGGCAGGACCATTTCACCTCTGGTCAAATGTCTTGTGTGGAGCTGCAGTCTAGGCCCTGGAGGCTGGAGAATACTTGACGTAGACTCGGAGACTTGTCTGTCACAGAATCTTATGCTTTCCACTCCTCCATGACTACCAAAGCATCTGCTCATTTAAAGCCATTTTAAACCTAATATACACACATATTATAAATATCATACATATTTCCGGCCTATAAAACAATGAAAATACAATTTCAAGGTGTAAACAAAAATAAAACGAACAACAGAAAACAACAACAACATGAGTGTTTACAATGTTTTTTATTAAGAAGCAATTTCCTAAATATTTTAAACCCAGAAGATGAAATTAATGGAAAAGAGCTCAAAATGATCCAGTTATTCCCTACAATTAAATCTAGCAGATGCTAAAGTTGTCTTAATTGATGTTTAGCACACATAAATAGGTTCAATTTTGGTTTCAACCCCTTCAAAAATTGCTCTCTTGTTTTTATTAGAATAACTTCAAATATAACCAAGCAGTGACTAAGAAATTTAGTAAATTGTAGGTTGTTCTCTAATTTTAATCTCTGCTGTACTATATTTGGATAAGATATTTGGCTCTAACGCAGCTTGTTTTGCCAGAATGTGGGAGCAGTATCTTCTTAAGCGTTGGCATTTAGCTTGCTTCGCTTTGAGTCATCGCTTATGGATGTTTTGCATTCGCAGGTTTCAAGATTAGAAGTCGTTCTGTAATTACGGAGTCTTGGGTCGAGTCTGACAGTTGCCCTCACGTCAGCGAAGCAATGACCTGCGATGACCCCGTCTGCTTCCTGTGGCGAGTGGCATCACTGGGGCCTTGTCTTCCTCTAAACGGATCATGTGGCCCAGGATTACAGGAGCAGACTCTGGAGTGTGTGTCTGCCTCAGGTATGCAGATCTTCCCTTTTAAATGCATTACATTAAATACATTTATGATGAACCAAATTTTCTATATTTAATTAATCTTGTTCTGTTCATCAAACTATAATGGAAACAACATAGACTCATTCTAGAAATGTAGCCCTATATATGTTTCTGGAGGTTGTGAATTATGTAGCAAGCAGTACGTATATTTGCATTTCGTCTTTAAAGTGAACGCTATGGGGCGGTATGATGCTGTTCCTTTTCACGCTTGACAGCTGACTACTTACCTCTATATGGATGGCTTTCCTGCTCTTACAAGTTTGTCCAGTGGCTCACCACATACATTGGTAGACTTGAGACGCAGAGAGGAGTTGAATGTGACGATGAGGTTTGAGTCTGGCGAAGAACGAAAAACTAAAGCCAAAAAAATAAAATACACAAATAAACAATTGGTGATAATGTGGTAAAATCTGAAAATGCGGTTAAAATAAGGGGGCTTTTCTTTTTCTGGATTGCTTTTTAAAACACTGTTGGTTGGGTTTAGGGAAGTGGGTGAGCGGGTCAATCAGTGCTTTTAAAAACACTATTGGTTGGGTTTAGGGAAGGGGTGGGTGGGTCAGTCGATCACTCATTTAGTCAGTCAGTAAGTCAGTTGAGAAGAGCAGGTGCAAATGGCACTCACGAGAGAAATTTGCGATCTGAAAAAGCGTACACAGCTGCCTCTGGTGGATTCGTGAAAACAAAAATTGCAAAAAATGTACCTCCTGGGATGTATTTGGCACTCTCAAGAAATGTATATAGGGCTTTATTTTCTGAATGAACCTGGGTTGCTTAGAAAAGTTCAGAATATTCACAAAGCAGCACTACTCTTATCGGCTTTTGACTGTAATAAGGATTATTAATGTTTCTTAAGGGTGACGCAGTGGCACAGTAGGTAGTGCTGTCGTTTAACAGCAAGAAAGTCGCTGGTTCGAGCTTCGGCTGGGTCAGTTGGCATTTCTGTGTGGAGTTTGCATGTTCTCCCTGCGTTTGCTTGTGTTTCCTCTGGGTGATCTGGTTTCCCCCACAGATCAAAGACATGCAGTACAGGTAAATTGTGTAGGTTAAATTGTCTGTAGTGTATGGGTGTGAACGAATGTGTGTGGATGTTTCCCAGAGATGGATTGCAGCTGGAAGGGCATCCGCTGTGTAAAAACTTGCTGGATAAGTTGGTGGTTCATTCCGCTGTGGCGACCCCAGATTAATAAAGGGACTATGCCAAAAAGAAATTGAATTAATGAATGAATGCTTCTTAAGCAGCAAAGCGATTTATTATAAAAGGACTATGTTATAGTGAAGGCTGGAGTTAATATATTAATTATTAAAATATTAAAATACATTTTATTTAAAGTCACCTTTCTGGCAACTCAAGGACACCGTACAATAAAAACAAGAGCAATAAAACAACATGACAAATAAATATAAAAATATACACAACTATAATGCAGATACAATTTAAGCATTAAAAGTCAACCTATATAGGTAAGTTTTGAGTCTAGTCAATAGCTCCTTTCACACTGTAAAAAAACAGGACTGGCAACCACTCATCCAGCCAGCAGAGGGAGCCCTCACCAGAATTCTGAATGCCAGTTCTTCGTTGGTTACTTCCTGTTTGGTGGCCATATTAACCTGGCCACACCAAACACTCAGTGCAAAGTATTGCCAGTATCTGCTGCCTTACTCAAGTGGTTTCTCACTGTTTGATCTGCCTTTTGTTATGACCTTTGAGCCTGTTATTTTTGACTACTGATTTTGGAAGACTGTTTTTGCCTTGTTTGCCTTGGTGGACACTCTGTGTGTTCCATTGAACCTGCAAGCCTTTTGACTACAATTTAGCCTGGTGTTTTGGATTTGTTTACTAATAACTATTAAACTTCTTGCATTTTATCCCATCTGTCTCCATGTTGTATGAAGGTAAATCTGTTGCGTAACTCGAGAGCTTGCAAATGTAAATGTGAGCACTTGTGATAATAATATTTGTATGTGTAGGTTGAAATGTACACTTACAGCTCTGATGTGAACAGCTGAAATCCTCGATTTGCACACACACACAACAATCCACACACTTGTGTTTTAAATTGGAAGTTGCAGATTAATAGTTGTGTATTTGTAAAATGTCATTCACAAATACAAAGCGACAGACACACGTGTGCACGGCAAATTTGACTGCATCTTCGCTCTACAACCACAGGTCGGCACTCACAACCTCTCAGATTCGTCAGTACAACTACAAATCTCCCGCGCTCTGACTTTTGCTACACATCTCCCGCGATCTCTGTAGCAGAACTCATCTGTGCACTCGCAAATGCAGAGGCGTGAGCAGCGCTGGGCAGGGGAGGGGCGGGGCTGGTGTAAAGCTGTTTGATTGGCTGATGCCTGACCAATGAACAATGCCAGCAGCCAACAGGACTGAGGTGCAAAATAATCATTTCCCACGATTATTTTATTATTTAGGGTTTATTTAAACTCTTTTCTGAAGAGATTCTTGTTAAAAATAATAAATTCTGTGGAAATGTACATACCAGTAAAAGAGCAGCAAAGCCAGTTTATTGGCTAGAGCCAGCCAATGAGATGGGGCGTTTCTGTTTGTCAGGACACAGGGCAGCTCACGTTGTTGGAGGCCTCGAGCAATCAGAGGGTAAGTTATGATTTTTAATAATTATCTATATGTTCAATACTGTTAGCTAAGCTGAGGACTGTGCTGGGTGCTTCTCTTGTTTGTTTCTTATATAAGAAAACAGTTATGAGTTATCTAGGAGCTGCTTTCAATCATGTTATATGGTTCTAAAGATACGATTCAACCCACATGAAATAAGAAGTTGTAATAGTATTTATAGTAAATAATAGTACGTTTTTGAACCATACTAACTATAGTAAACTGTATTATACAGTATATATTGCAGTATCTACAACTTTGTTAATGAATACAACAGCACACTGTAGTATTAACTAGCATGAACTTTAATAAATTGAAGTATACTTGTATGTATGTATGTATGTGTATATATATATATATATATATATATAGCTTAAATTTGAAAAAATTGAAATATAGCTATCTGTTTAAAACTAAACATTCTAATGCCATTTATTATGCAAATATCAAGTTGAAGCAAATCTGTTAAGAACACATATTTATATGTAAAACCTAATACATTTTAAAGCAGTTTCATTTCTTTCTAATTTTTACATCTACATGCATTACATCTGATTTAGGTCCACAACTTGCATCCTTCAACATGATATGTGTGTTCAAAGGAAGAGCAACTAGGTGAGGGAGACAGTGTCCATCACTCGGCTGAGGGTCCACTTTGAGCATCTCATCTGCAGGGTTAAGCAACATAAGCTGAACAGTCATCATCTCTCTCTATTACAGCGAGCATCAACCAGCTTTACACAATGGCTTGCTTTCTGACCATTAGTTAAGGCTTGAGCAAAGTATTAAAGAGGAGATAACATTTGATGGGTAATGATGAAGTTGGATTTACCACCTCCATCTCATTATGAACAAGGAAAAACCCTGAAATATTTCAATACAAGTAACTAGACATTTGCACTGCACTTATTTGGACTGTAAATTTTATTTGACAAATTACATTTCACTTACAGAACAGGTGTCAAACTCAGTTCCTGGAGGGCTGCAGCTTTGCAAAGTTTAGTTCTAACCCTAATTAAACACACCTGATCAAACTAATTGAGTCCTTCAGGTTTGTTTGAAACTTTCACTTAAGTGTGTTGAAGCAAGGTTGCAACTAAAAACGTGAAGGATTACGGCCCTTCAGGAACTGAGTTTGACACCCCTGCCTTACAGTAAAGTGTAAAAATACTACATTAAACAATTATCAAAATAAAAGTTGTGTTTGTGGGTGAGTGTGTGTTTTGTTCAAATCTGTAGTCATCTTGGCAGGTAAAAAGAGAAAATAAAGTCGGCTTCCTCTAGAATGATCTGAATCATTTTGAAGTGTTTGTAGATGAGCTTGATCATCATGTCATCTTTAGCATAAATAACATCCTATTCAAGCTATGCAGCTTCTCTGAGTTCCTCATCGACTTGAAACATGCTGATCTCTCCTGTCACTCCATCCTTACAGGAAACTGAGAAATAACCTATAGTTAGTAACGTTCATAATTAAAAAAGTGATATAAAGGACGCACTGTACACAAACATGTAAATAGATAGATGGATAGATAGATATGATGCAGGTTATAATAACAAAAACCGGTATGATCTGTAAGAAACTGAAACGCCTAGTGTTATTTTTAATTGCTATTAATGTGTGTGTGTGTGTGTGTGTGTGTGTGTGTGTGTGTGTGTGTGTGTGTGTGTGTGTGTGTGTGTGTGTGTGTGTGTGTGTGTGTGTGTGTGTGTGTGAATGTGTGTGTGTGTGTGTGTGTGTGTAAATATACTTCAATTTATTAAAGTTCATGCTAGTTAATACTACAGTGTGCTGTTGTATTCATTAACAAAGTTGTAGATACTGCAATATATACTGTATAATACAGTTTACTATAGTTAGTATGGTTCAAAAACGTACTATTATTTACTATAAATACTATTACAACTTCTTATTTCATGTGGGTTGAATCGTATCTTTAGAACCATATAACATGATTGAAAGCAGCTCCTAGATAACTCATAACTGTTTTCTTATATAAGAAACAAACAAGAGAAGCACCCAGCACAGTCCTCAGCTTAGCTAACAGTATTGAACATATAGATAATTATTAAAAATCATAACTTACCCTCTGATTGCTCGAGGCCTCCAACAACGTGAGCTGCCCTGTGTCCTGACAAACAGAAACGCCCCATCTCATTGGCTGGCTCTAGCCAATAAACTGGCTTTGCTGCTCTTTTACTGGTATGTACATTTCCACAGAATTTATTATTTTTAACAAGAATCTCTTCAGAAAAGAGTTTAAATAAACCCTAAATAATAAAATAATCGTGGGAAATGATTATTTTGCACCTCAGTCCTGTTGGCTGC